GATGATGAAATTCGTTGCCAACGCCGATTTTTATCGATTTTATCGATTCGTTGTTGCAGCCCTATATCGCACACAACATGTTTAAGTTTTATAAGTATATATAAGTTTAAAGCACAATGTCAGGTTTTTATAAAGCATAAAAAAGCAAAGAAGGACCATCAGAGTTGCTTGCAAGGCTCTGGATCTAATGGATGATTAATCATATAGTACCTATCTATCTGTATGAAAGGTACTATATTCTTTGTTTTCCATCTATATGTCCCCTTTTGAACAAGTTGTATTATATAAACCTGCATGTATATATTCAGGATTTGCAGCAGCATTTAAATCAAGGCTCTGCTTTTGTCTTTAAAGTTGTGCCATCATTAATTTCACATGACAAATTGTTCTTTTAGATATTCTTTTTTGTCTAAAATTGTCGAATATTGTAATATCTGTTCCCTCTTTATGATTAGGACTTTTTTTTTATTAGGTCAAAAAAATCATGCCTACTGTTACCTTTGAAAGATACTTTAGATGTTATCTAATAAAGCGGGATATTGCTTTGAGTTTAATTTAATGTTTTGACATAAAAGGAAAATCTAAACTCAATGGTTAATATTATTGATAATATTGATAAAACCCCTTAAGAAAAAACGATGAATCACTTTTCAGCCGTATAGTTTGTAACTTTTCAATGTTTTGAAGGACAAAGCTGATTCAGAGGAAATGGGCCATGACAAAGAAAAAAAAGATCTGTTTCCTTTTTTTGCTTAGGATATTTAGGTTTTTTAAAAGTAAACCTGTATTATAAGAGTTGAATACTCCTGTGGGGTAGCAAGCACTGAGAAAGTCTTATGTTGCTGCGATATAGGGCTTTTATGCATTCTTTAGTGTTGAGTGTATGGACTTCTTGCCCTGGAAGCAAGAGTGATTATAGTAATAGATAGTAAAAAATATGATATTTTTATATTTTAATTTCAAAATTCTCTCTCAACTAAACAACTTTCATTGAGCGGTATGGATAACTTGTTATAACTCGTTTTAAAAACTGAAGTCTGCAGTTCATAAATGCATGCACCAAATTTTTATCTCTTCCTCAATTACCAATTTTGGAGATTATATGAAATAATTGTTAATCAATACGTATGGTCCCAGAAGTGACT